TCTTACAGCGGCAGTCGAAAAGGCGCGCATTGATCTTCATAATACAGCACGAACTTGAAACGGGCTTCTGAACACTCGAAAAGCACTGACTCTTGGCTGCCCTTATTTCCTGGACACCATGGTTACTCAGGGATACACGTGGCATGCATTACACATATAAGTGGCTTTGAGTGCAAAGTTCTAGTATATAAAATTCAACAGTGCGTGGGAACGCGTTTTGCACTGCTGAATTTCCCTTTCCCGTTGCCTTCCTTTAGTAAGCATATCTGGCAAAAGGAAACGATCCTATTCGGACATTGCTTGCGCCGATGTGGGTTTGGCCCCAGCACGACTGTCCCGTCGCGCGAGCCATGCGGAATGTTTGTTCTGTAGAGTCATTGGTTCTTATTCCTTACGCAGTGCATATTTCTCTGTTTCTTCGGTTCAGGCAGCCGACTGGCGTTACGCGTCCGGCGCTGCTCCATTGCGTTCGCATCGTTTCTTTTTCAGTGTTGACCGAATGCTACAGTTTTTTCGAACTTTTTTGATAGGGCAGCTGTTCGGCGCTGTATGAAAGCTTTGAATAGGGTCACTGCGGGTGGCGAGTATATGTGTCTCCAGGTACTCGCATGTTTAAAGGCGGAAGGCTATGCTACAAACCGCAGCATACGTTGCTGTGTCTTCACTGCCGTCTGCAACTGCTGGTTGCTGTTGTTTATCTGTACACCGCGCTGCAGTAGCAGCTTGCTCGTGCCGGTGTTACTCGGGCGGGTCGTTGTCCGCTAATACATCCGCAGCCATTTCAAAGGGGAAGGGCCTTCTGCAGCAGCAACAGCAGCAGCAGTAGCAGCAACAGAAGCAGCAGCAACAACACCTCAATTGGGCGCTCCTTCCCCCTCAGCAACTGCAGCTCCGTGAATCTCGTCTTGCGTCTGCCAAGCGAGCAGCAGCAGCTACAACAGCACGAGCAGCAACCGCTGTCGCAACACGTTTGAAGAACCCTTTTGTGATTCTGTGTGCGTTGTCTTCCTGCTGGGGGTCGCACACCTTCCCGCTCCTGCTGCTGCTGCTGCTGCTACAACTTCCGATGCTGCTGCTACAAATGCTCCTGCTGCTGGTGCTGCTACAAATGCTGCTGCTGCTGCTTCTTAGGAGAGACGGAGAGGCCTTCGTAACAGCATCACGTCCAGACCTTGTGACCTCCTCAGCAGCACAAGAAGCCCTCCATATGATACTGCAATCGCCAGGGGGGCCGACAAAAACGCGCTGCCGCCTTATGGGCCCCGAAAGGCACTTGGGAGGCCGCCACAACCAAAGGGGGGCCCCAAATGCCACAGGGCCCCCCCCAATGCCATAGAGGGCCCTATGCGACAGCAGGGCCCCCAAGCGCGCAGAGAGCCCTTAATAGCACCAAAGGGGCCCCCAAAGGATGAGGGGGGCCACCAAGAGCATTGGGGACCCTCAACGCATCTTTGAAGTGGCCATCGGGGAGCCCCAAGCGATTCCTAAACCCTGAAACAAAGATGGCACTACTACTACCAGTCGTGTAGGTCTTGCGCTTAAGGTTTAGGGTTTAGGGGGTTGCTTGTAGGAGGCACCGAAGGAGGCGAAGGAAGAAATAAGAAGACGACGAGCGGTTCCGCGCAAGCATGTTTCTTCTTTCTATTCTTCGCTTGTCTCTTTTTTTTTTCTTCTCCTTGTTGTCCGTCTCTTTCTCTTTGTTTGTCTCCTTCCTTTTGCTTTTTTGTGTGTTTATCGTTGTTCTGTTGCCCGTGTTGCCCCCTCCGGTCGGTTGCTTCTGTTGCTCCCACTGCTGCTGATGTTGCTGCTGCTGCGGGTGGTGCTGGCCCTGCTGCTGCTGCTGCGGCTGCCACCGTTGTTGTAGATGCTGCCGCCACTGTTTCTGCTGCTGCTGCTGCCACTGGTATTGCTGCTGCTCTTGGCACTGTTGCCGCTGCTGCCACTGTCGTTACTACTGCTGCTGTTCCGTTATGTGTTTAGTTTCTGCTGCTCGTCGTTTAGAGAATGCCTCTCTTAGAATTGCCTTGATGGGGACAGCAGCATACAGCGCATTCGTATCATCATCATCAACAGCAGCAGCAGAAGAGGACGGCAGTTCATCTGTCCCCTTTTGGGTGATGCGGCAGGCAGGTCGATATTAACCAGTTTTCCGGGCCGTCAGGGCAAAACACAAATTCCTAACTGTGGGACTGCTGCTGTTGCTGCTACTTCTGATGCTGCTGATGCTGGTGGTGGTGCCCCTGCTGCGGTTGCTCTTGCTGCTGTTCCTGATGCTGATGCTGCGATGCCTCCCTCCGTCTCTTATTTCTCTTTTACAATAATAAAAGAGAGAGGAGGGACCGAAGGAAATAGAAATACATATTTCTATAGCCTTCTGTCTCTCCTCTTTCTTTTATTATAATAAATATATAGATAAATAAATATGTATATATGTATGCATTCTGTTTATTTCTGTCTCTCCTTTGTCTTCGATGAGTAAAGATCATCTTCTCGCTGCCACCGTGACCCTGCGGCACTTAACTCGACTTGCTTTCTTAGATGCCGCCATTACATTTAGGGATATCATAGTACTACAGGGGTGACGCCTACAAACCCTAATGAAACCTAAACCCTAATACATCCTAAACCCTTGTAGTAAACCCAATAAAACCTCATGAACCGTAAGAAACCCTACGCCTTAATAAACCCTAAAGCCTGCGAGCTGCTGCTCGTACTCGAACGCAGCAGCAACAGTAAATCCCTCAAAACTCCCTAGTCTCTAAACTCTAAAACCTCCACTTCCCCCCCGCAGAACCTACCGGGGTCGCCTAAGGGTTCTGCAACAAGCCTCCAAAAATTAGGCTTTAGGGTTTAGGGTTTGTTGCGCAGGCCATGGGCATGCCGTTGAAAGTGCAGGAGGGGGAGGGGCCACGCTTTGGCTGGCAGTTAGAAGCGCCCGCAGACGTTCAGCGTCTAGAAACCGCATTTGATGCTGAAGTCAAACTATGTCAGGCCATAGGGTTTAGGTTTTAGGTTTCCTTAGATATGGTGTAGTGCCGGCCGAAGATTCGCGGTTGTCTCCCTGTCTTCATCCTGCGTCTCTCTTTGCTGTAGTAGTCCAGCTGCTGCACCTGCTCGTGCTGCTGCACCTGTTAGTGCTGTTGCTGCTGCTGCATGTTATGCATTTGATGTTATATATGCAACAGCGGAGCGACTGCAAGGGTCTGAGACGGTGATAGGGTTTATTGGTGGGCCCCTAACTTTATTTTGTTTTATAGTAGACGGGCGAGCCCCAAGAAGGGTTGACAACGCGCAGAAGTATTTGTACTCAAGTATACTGATGAGACAAAGTTGCTGCTGCAGCAGACCGCAGCAGCAGCAGCAAATTATCTGAGCGAACAAGTCGGGGGCTGAGCCCACGTGCTTCAGGTAATGTCGTCTCCTCTATTCATATGCTGCTGGCCCTGCTGCTGCTGCTGCTGCTGCTGTTGCTGCTACTCCTATTGATGCTGCTGCACCTCCTCTTTATCCTGCTGCTGCTCTTGCTGCTTTTGTTGGTGATGGAACTGGTGCTTCACCTGATGTTGCTGATATCGCTTCTGGTGGTGCTGCCGCTGCTATGCTGCTGATGTTGCTGCTGCTGCTCCTCCTGTTGCTGATGCGACTGATGTTGCAGCAGCTGCTGGTGGCGTTTGCAGGTGTTTGAGACAAATGCGAGTGTGTTCGCCCCTGAGCAATACGAGGAGTTCGGGGTGCCCTGTACTACAAAAATCGCTGACGCGAGTTGCTGCTGCTGTTGCTGCTGCTGTTGCGGTTGCTGCTGTGGCTGCTGTTTTCTCTCCCTCTCCCCCTCTCTATATATAATATATATAATATATGTATGTGTCTGCATATCCTCCTTGTGTATACATTCGTATGACAGGCTATATCTATTTGCTGTCGGGGTGTACTGGTGATATAGCCTTCCCTAAGAACCGTCCATTGTCTTCCGTCTCTTTTTCTTCTATATCCTGGAAAAATAAACGAGAAATAATAAGAAGACGATTTTATTCCGATATTCCGTTTTTTTACTTTCCTCCTCGTGGCAGTCTTTCCATTACATCTATACACGGAGATTTAGACCCTCAGCTACCATACACAACATGTGAGACTATCGTCAAAGAAACTGCCGAAATGCTCAGCAGCAGCAACAGCAGCAACAGCTGCAGCAGCAGCAGCAACACCAGCAGCAGCATACGCTGCAGCAGCACTGTCTACATAGGTTGGGGGCATTGTATTCTGTACAGGTGGAGGAATATCAACCGGGTCGTTATATGGCCAGCCTTGGCCACTGCATTGAGCCAGCGATGGACCCCCACAAAGTCGCCGTGTTCTTTTAGATTGTAAAGGATGCTGCTGCCGATATCAAGGAGAAATGCAGTTGAAACAACCTAGTTAGCTAGCGATCTAGCTAGCTAAGATAGCGAGCTAGCTAGCTGGCTAGGCATTGAACCATATAGTTAGCGAAATGCTACCAGACTCAAGTTCTCTCCTGCAGGCGCAGATAAGACTGCAGTCGCCACACATGCGGCGCGCCGAGTGCCTTGCCGAGCTAGCTAGCTAGTTAGCTAGCTAGCTAGCCCAGCATATGCTCTAAAGCGCTCCAGCTATCTCTATCTAGCAAGATGGTTAGCTAGATAGCCAACTAGCTAGATATCTATCCCTTTTCTTTGTACGTTGGTTTGTAAAGCCGTCCTTACCTCCTGCTGTTTTCCTCTCATCTAAAGAATAAGAACACAAGTTGGACGAAAAAAGAGAAGCACCACAGAAAACTGTAGCTGCAGAACACTGTGACTGACATCTAGGGTGTCGGGAGAGCGCGTCAGCGAGCACGCTGGTGATTTCCCTGATGTACTTGACTGTCCAGTCGTACTGCGTGAGGCGAGAGAGCCACCGAATAACTCTTTCATTATCACAGTCTTGCAAGCTCGTTCTCAGGCGCGTCAGGGACTGATGAACGGTTTGGGCAGTAAAGCGCATGCCATACAGGTAATGCCGACACATGTTTACACCCCAACAGACCGCGTAGACTTCCTTCTC